TTTCATCACAAAGATCCAAACCTTCTTAACCTGGAAGATCAGCCTAGCTCAGATGCATTCAGGGTGGTATGGCTGAAAGCCATAGATTTATTATAATTTATAATATTAAATAGGGATCTCTGGTTGCCTAGTGGCAAGAATCTGCAATGCAATTTCAAAGGCAAGTGGTTCAAATCCACCCGCTGCCCTGCCGGAGAAATATGGACAATCTCCTCCTGTGCACCAAATAACAATAAATTGCATTATTTCTCAAAATCTACTTTTATACTCCAACTCTTTCTGTAAAAATAGTCCTGTTTATCAGATTTTAGCACAAAAAAGTATGTTAAATGTGGTAAATAAATCAATCATATTTCCATTGAGTTTTCTAAATAATGTAAAACTCCCATTGTTTAACTGGAAGAAATCAAGTTAGTTATTCTTTGTTCCTAATAGTTAAATACTTAAGGGAGTTGTTGCTGTTACAAACTATCAAGTTGGCGCTGACTCATAGCTGACCCTCTGGTGAGTTTTCAGAAGCTGTAATCTGCATGGGAGGAGACTGCCTAGCTTTCTCCCATGGAGCAGTTGGTGGATTTGAACTTCATGCTTCTGGATCAGCAGCACAGTTCCTAACCCACTAGGCAGAGCTCCCTCCATGAAAGAGAGTGAGTCATCTGTAATTTCCTTTTATACATTCCCTCCAGCCAATTTGTGATCAATTTTATAGAAACTTCAGAGAATAATTTGGAGAGTCTTCCTTTTTCTTTCTAATCTCTGGAAAAAGAGAATATAAATTTGGAATACGCTCTGTTTTGAAAATTTATTAGAGCTTTTTTCTAAAATCCGCATCTGTGTGTGTGTGTGTGTGTGTGTGTGTATGTGTGTGCGCGCCCTGGTGGATTAATAGGCTATTTCTTGGGTTACTAACTGAAGGACCAATGACTTGGATTATCTCTGAGTTATAAAAACCAAAACCAAAGTGAAAAAAAAGATGAGGAGCATGCACCCACTGAGATCTAGGGCCTCAGAAACCAGATGGTGGGTCACTGGGAATCAAAGTTGGTTGAAAAGCAGTATGTTTGGGTTCATTCTAATTAAACGTATTTAAAAGTTTTAGGAATTACTTCACAATTGGTTTTGATAACTTTTGTGTTTCTAAGAAATTGTCATTTGGTTCACATTGGGTCGCTCTTATTTTGCTAGTCATTTTATCATCCTGAAGTAGGTTGACCTGAAGCTGCCCTGGGTGTGCTTGTAAAAACCTTAATAGAATGGTTTAGGCTTGCTCTTAACTTTTATATCTTTTACGATGAACATCTTTGAACATTCTGGTCAATTAAATAGTACAGTTTGCCAGATTTTTACTTTCAAGTGAAGTTCATCCAAATGTCCTGTAAACTGAGTTTTTTTCTTTTCTTTTTTTTTTTAAACTGAGCTTTTAAAAAAGATATTTTTTCTTATCTCCTTAAAAAAACCTGGCTTTTTAGTCAGGGGGGAGGGGAATTTTTAGCTGCTCTGCAATAGTATGGTGAATATAATTGATAGTTTCACAATTTAGTCAGAGAAAACACATTTTTATCATTTGCATTTGAATTTAGATTATATAATGTAGCTTTGCAGCTATAAAAATACATTATAGTAGATGTGAAAATTAAAATTTACAATAACTCTTGGATATATAATGGTACTTCCTTAAGGAAAAAGGCAATAACAAAAGCAAAATTCTAAGTAACAATTTGTCTTCTAAAATATAAATTTTTTAAAAAACAAACCTTTTCAATTTAATCCTTCTAAGTTATTTTTACTTCCACATAAAAATTGAGTTGTTGTTGTTGTTGTTGTTATGTGCCATCGAGTCATTTTTGACTCATAGCGACCCTATGTACAACAGCCCTAAACTCCGCTCTGTCCTGTGCCAATTGCGCTGTCTCTGACACTCCCATCCCAATTATCCCAGTCACTGAATCAATCCACCTCATAGATGGCCTTCCTCTCCTGCGTTGTCCCTCCACCCTCCCAAGCATGATATCCCTCTCCAGGGACCTGTCCCTCCTCACAAAACGTCCAAAGTATGTTAGACGGAGCCTCAGAATC